CCATGCACTATGCTGTACAGAATTGCCCAAGATGGTGGAGAGTTCTGACAAAAGATGATCCACTAGAGAAGGAAAGAGCAAACCACTCCAGTGTCTTTGCCAAGAAAACCCCATATGGGGTCATGAAGAGTCTGACACAACTGAATGACTGAACAAAAATAACAACAAAGCTTCTTTCAGTTTTTCAACTGAGAAACAAAATGGTCATGAGTCTATGCAGTCTCTATCTTCAGAGACTCCAAAACAAAGGATGACAGGTAAGTGTGGCTCGTGCCCCACCACCAGCAGGTAGGAGCCATTGACATCATTCTTGGAGAAGTTGTATGTATACACAAGAAAAGTTTTGAACTACTCTCAGTGTCCTCAGGATACAGTTGAAATGTTTAAGCTGTGGGTTCGCTTTAGGGTGAGTGTGTTGTCCTAGACTTCTTAATTCCAGACAAAACTAATACTGGCACATGCTTGAGGCAGGTGACCATCTTTAAAATAGTATTTGCAATTGTTTTCCAGCAGTACCAACAGGGCTTTTTTGTTTATATATTTCAGGGACACCACTCCCTACTGGTTCACCTCCTTACCTATCTGGCTATTCCTTCTCAGTCTCCTTTGCTAAGTTGTCATCCAATACATAGCTTCTAACCAAAGGTATCCCACAGGGCTTTGTCCTGGGCCCTCTGTTCTTCTCCCTCCATACTACTTTGTTTGATTTCATCACCTCCTATGGATTTAATTATCATCTCTATGCTGATTATTATTATTATTATCTACCTATCCTGTCCCAACCTCTCTGCTGACCTCTAGTCTCACATCTCCAAGTACCTTTCAGACATAGCAAATTGGATGTCCAGTATAATATCTTAAATTCAACATGTCCAAAACTGAACTCATCTTTTCGCTTAAAACTTGCACCCTTCCAAACTTCCCTATTACTGAAGAGGACACCATCATCCTCCCTGTCTTACAGGCTTGCAACCTAGGTGTTATCCTTAGCTCCTCACTATCTCTCACACCTCTATCCAATCTGTTGCCAAGGCTGGTAGATTTCACCTTTATAACATTTCTTGAATACGACCCTTTCTCTCCTCTATTATTGTCACCACTTTGGTGTAGGCACTCACCACCTCACACCTGGACTGTTGTAATAACCTCATGCATGGTCTGCCTTCCACAAGTCTCTCCCCACTCCCACACATCCCCCTACTCAGCCACCAAAGTGATCTTCCTAAAAAAAGCAGGTTTGAAAATGTTGCCCTCCTACTCAATAAACTCCAATGGCTTCCTATCAGCTCTACAATCAAATACAAAATCCTCTGTTAAATGTGAAAAGATCTTCATAATCTAGCCCTCCCCCCTATCTTTCCAGTCTTCTTATACTTTAGATCCCACCCCCCCTACTCCACATACACTTTTCAATGCAGTCACGTTGGCCACCTTGTGGTTCTGTGAACAAGACATTCCACCTCTTTACCCTGGGCATTTTCTCTAGCTGTCCCTCCTGCCTAGAATGCTTTCTCTCTTCATCTTGATCTCCTTCAACTCCCAACTAATATCCCATCTTCTTTCCCAATCCCTCTTGATTATTCCCTTAGCTAATTATTTTCTATTTCTCCTCTATATGCCTTGGTTGTATACGTTTGTTTGCTTGCTTGTTGTCTCCCCCACTAGATTGTGAGCACCTTGAGGACCGGGACTATCTTTTGCCTTTCTTTGTAACCCCAGTGCTTAGCACAGTGCCTGGCACATAGTAGACACTTAATAAAGACATACTAACTATTGACTACGACTATGGATAAATGACATCTGGCTATTGACTCATTCTCAGGTGGGTAGCTAGAAATGGGAAAAATTAGAGAGCAGCTTCATGTATGTAGCAGCAGGACTTTTTTGAAGATCCCATTGATTTCCTTCCTGGAAAGGGCAGGCCTCTATCTATCTGATCACAATTCTGCCTATTATGGATCTTAAATAGCATGAAGGCACATTCCAGGAATAGACAGTTCTGAGACTCAACTTTACCAAGAACAGAAAAGAATTAAAAGAAACTAGGCCTAGCACAATTAAACGAGGTCAGTTTTTAATACTCCTTTGCCACTTCCAGGTCATCTCCCTGCCACCTCCATCACTCAGTAACCTCTCCTCCTTTCAGGTTCAAAATATCTACATCTACCATCCAATCAAAAACTCAGTAGCTCTTGTCTACAGTGACCTCTAGGTCACTGCCCTTCCTTCCTCAACGAGTTCAATACCTGACTCACAAATTTTCTCTCTTTCCCAACTTCTGCCCTCATACTAGGGGACTTCAACATATACACTGACTCTCCTTCAAACACCCTAACCACTACATTTCTCAACCTACTCATTTCCCACGACTTACTCTTACACTCCACCTAAGCCATATACAAAAGTAGTCACAGACTTGATGCTGCCATCACCTATGATTGCATCATTCTCCATGTTCAAGGAGTCTGGCATTTCCTTATCTGACCATAATCTGTTACCTTTTTTCTCCCTCTGCCTTCCTTTATAAAACCTCATTCTTTGAATGCACCATGACCTCTAATCTCTTGACCCTTTAATTCTTTCCTAAGCCCTCACCTCTGCATTAGTGATTCTTTCCTCTTTTCCTCATCTTGACCATTTGATGAATGAGTTAAACTCTACACTGTTCTCTTCTCTTGAGTCTTTGGCCCCCTTATCATATCATTTATTGTGCCTGGTCAAGCCTCAACCTTGGATCACTCCTATCACCTGCTTTCATTTCTACACACATGCTGCCGAATAAAGATATAGAAAATCACAGAATTGCTCTGACTGGGTCAACTACAAATTTAGATTACATAACCTCAACTGGATCCTTCATTGCTGCTGGGCAATCCTCCTATATTTTCCTTATAAACTCATTATCCCACTCCACAGCAGCTCTTCCAAACCTTTTCATCGCTCCTCAAACATTCCATAGCTCTCTCTCCTGTTATCTTTTCAGCTGAGAACTTGCCTGATATATTATAGAAAAAAAAAATTGAGGCCATTTACTGGGAGCTCCATACTTTCGCCTCTTCCCCACCTCATATCACTTAAATGCCTTCTGCCACTATCTCCTTCACTCCTGTCTCACATGACCTCACTCATTACCAAGGCAAACCCCTCTACCTGCACAAGCAATCCCATTCCAAACCATCTCTTTCAATAGACACCTCCTCTGTTATCCCTACTTACCTTCAATCTCTCCTTATCTATTAGAACCTTCTCTCCTGCCTATAAACATGCTCATGTCTCTCTCTTCAAAAACCCTCACCTGATCCTTCCATCTCCACAAACCATCACCCAATATCTCCTTTGCCCCTTGAAGCTGAACTCATTGAGAAAGCTGTCTAACAATAGGTACCTCCACTTTCTCTCTCTCTCTCTCTCTCTCTCTCTCTCTCTCTCTCTCTCTCTCTCTCTCTTAACCCTTTAGATCCTGGCTTCCAACCTCATCATTCCACTGAAACTGCTCTCTCCAAAGCTGCCAATGATCTTTTAATTGCCAAATCCAATAGCCTTTTCTCAATCCTCATTCTTCTTGATTTCTATGCAGACTTGGCACTATTTATCACCTGCTTCTCTTTGATACTCTCTTCTCTCTCTAGATTTTTGGGACATCACTCTTTCCTGGTTCTCCTTCTACCTACCTGCTCCTTCTCAGTCCCCTTTGCTAGATCCTCATCTAGGTTATGCCCTCTAAGCATAGTTATCCTTCAGGGTTTTATCTTGGGCTCACTACTCTTTCTCCCTCTGTGCAATTTCACTTGGTGATCACATCAGCTCCCATGGATTTAATTATCATTTCTATGTCTAAATCTACCTATCCTGCTCTAATTTCTCTGATGACCTCCAGTATCACATCTCCAACTGCTTCTCAAACATCTCAAATTGGATGTCCAGTTGATATCTTAAATTTTAACATGCCTAAAACTGAACTCATTATATTTCCCACTAAAATTATCCCCTCCTAAATTTCCCTATTATTATAGAAGGCACCACCATTCTCTCAGTCCAACTGGCTTGTAACCTAGGTGTTATCCTCAACTCTTCATGATCTCTTACTTCCGATATCCAATCAGTTGCCAAGATCTGTAGATTTCGATTGTGCAACATCTCTCAAACATGTCCCTTTCTTTCCTCTAATACTGCCATCACCCTGGTGTACGTCTTCATTACCTCATCCATGGATAATATTGCATTAGCTTGTGATGAATCAGCCTAACTCATCTCTCCTTATTCTACTCCATCTTCCATTCAACTGTCAGTGTTTACCTAAGGCACAGGTCTGAAGACATCACTCTCTTAATCAATAAACTCCAATGCCTCCCTATCATCTCCAGGATCAAATAACAAAATCCTCTGTTAGTGTTCAAAGCCCTTCATAATCTAGCCATTTCTGTCCCCCTTATCCCCACCTTTTTAGTCTTCTTACACTGGTTACCCCACCCCTCCACATACACTTCAATTCAGTGACACTGGCCTCCTTGCTGTTTTGCAAAGAAGACACTCTAAGTCTCAGCTCTGGGAATTTTCTCTAATTGTGCCTCATATGCCTGTAATGCTCTCCCTCCTAATCCTTCCCTCCCAGCTTCCCTAGCTTCCTTCAAGTTCTAATTAATATCCCACCTTCTATAGGAAGCCTTTCCAAACCTCTCTTAATTCTAGTGCCTCCCTTCTGTTATTTCCTATTTATCCTGTATATAGCTTGTTTGTACATATTTTGCTTATTTGTTTGCTTATTGTCTCTCCCATTATAATGTGAGCTCCTTGAGGGCACGGACTGCAAATAAGTTGAACATGTAAAGATTCTTTTAGTTGGGTAAATATTTCTGCCTTCTCACCTTCTATACTTAAGTCTCTGTTTTTCTTACTTTTAATGTGTTTGCCTAGGAAAACAGCATCCTAGGAAAAAAGAAAACTAAAAACAAGGGCAAATACGAATAAACATAGTATTCTAATGTGAATAATTGATTTACCTGAGATATTTCTGCTAAATAGGCCCGTCGTTCATCATTGGTCTTATGGAAAGCCTAAATTAAAGACACATATTAATTCAACATTAAATAATGTTAACAATATTATTAATAAATTTGAATTATCTAGGAACTTCTTAAGTTACATATTTCTTATAAGGCTTTCATTATACTATTTACTGTGCATATAATACATATACTACATATATACAAGACATCAAATGGCATAATAATTTCTAAAAAGAGTTGTTTGTTGAACAGAATAAAAACAAACCTTTGATGCTTGTTCCAGTCTAAGCTCATACTCTTTTACTTGATACTCAAGACTTCGTTTTTCTTTTTCTAGCTGTTTAAGTAATTGATTTAAAGAATTCTGGAATTATACAAAACAAATTTATTACATATATTCATCAATAATTACAGAATTTTGTACAACCTAGATTTTAAATTATATGCTTCAAACTCTGTATAGGAATTTTTTTCAATGCTGACACTATATTCAAAAGAAATACAGGGACAAACATTCAAAGAATAAATAGTATTTTTAGTTGCATACTTCACATTATAACCTTAACCTTCTCATAGACTTTCTTTCTTTAAGAGATTTCTCAGGAAACTTATAGTTAAAAGGCAATTTGAAAGACAGTAGAGAAGCCTAGCTCCTATCAATAGGAATAATATCTCAAAAAGAACCTAGAATGAACAATCATAAAGAAAACCAAAAAGAGACAAAAGCAAGCTCCTCAACCCAATCTAAAAACTGTACAAATGACACTCTGAAGCTGGCAAAGACTGTTAGAGGGGTCACACAACAGAAATTGGAGTAAAACTCCAGTTAATATAATTGAATGTAGAGGCTAGAAAACCAGCACAAACTCCTGCCATAAAATGGGCTTGGCAGGCGTAGGCTGGGGAAAAGAGTCATTCCAGAATAGACAGAATGAGACATTGTAAATAACCTGAATTGGAGTGCTGCAAGCCATTATGAGCTTCAGTAACCAGAGGCCTGAAGTCAGAGCAGAACAGAATCAAGGGACAGACCTGACCCTAAAAGGCAAATGAGGAGGGAGATATGTTTAAACTATGCGTTCTCTGGAGTACTATGAGCAACAGCAATAGATAAAGACAACTAAGGACTTAAGGACTGATGCTAGGGGTGTTATGCAAGAGGTCTAACACCAGCATGATTGCCAACATCTGACTGGTTCTTGTCAGGGCCACAGAGAAAATGGAACCAGCTCCCAATTGTGGCTTCCAATTCAAGAAGATGGAGAGATTTACTGAAGCTAGAAACTATTTAGATCACTAGAAGACTGTGGTAGAAATCAAGAATTAAGGCGAAAATTGGAGCCTAGTACCAGCCATCTCATCCAGACAGAAATTAGCAGCAGACCCAGAATACAGAAGGACAGAATTTATTTAAAAAAAAAAAAAGTCTTGTCAAATCCATCCAATAACGCAAGAGTGGTCTGGTCTGAGCACAGAGTCCCCAGTCCAAGAAATGAGGCTGGAAATATGAGTAAACAGAAGAAAATACCAAAAACAATGATGAAACTACATAGGCTTAGAGAAGCCAAAAGGGCAAATCCAGAAGAGAGTAATGACATAACAACTATAACCAGAGTTTCAGAGGGAAAAACAAAATGGCTTGGCTATAAAGCCTATACAAATACCTGAAAAAATGAAGATTTTTTTAAAAAATGAAATTATAAATGAAATTAAAGTTCAAGAGGAAAATATTGAAAGAAAAATAGAATAAAAAGTGGAAACTTTTACTTGAGTGGTAGATTCCACAAAAAATAAAGTGGAGTAAACATAACTCAACAACTTCATGAGACAAGAAGTATTAAAAGAAAGTCAAAAGGCTAAAAAAAAAAATAAATTGTAAAGTACTGATGATCAAAATAAATAACTTGGAAAACAGGTTAAGGAAAAATAATTTACAAATCAGGATTGCTTCTTAAGGTGGCAGCATGAAACATTATAACAGAAATCCAGCTCTTCTACATGTTCTCTAACAAAAATCTATGAAGGCCACCTGATCAAATAATGGTTGAAAAATTCAAAGAAAAATAATAGTAACCTCTCTCATCTAGCCTATGACAGCACACACACACACAACACACACACACCCCATACGCCAGTAGCTTGTGGGGTTCTTCAGCCTGAGAAGCCAGTGGCAGTACAGGCAAACAATTCAGAAGTCTGCTAGCATTCTGATCAGATAAACTACAGGGACATCTGAAACCTGCCCAGAGTGCTCAAACAAGGAAGCTTCAAGTGGGTCAAAAATTCCAAATTCTTTGATACTCTTACCACTAACATAGGACCAAAAACTGGCAGTGCTCTGACTGGGACACCCTAGAAGGGCCAGAAATCTGCAATACTCTGACCTGAGGTGATACAGAGGTCCCTGAAAACTGATACACTTAGAACCCATAGGATGCAGGGGGACCTGAAACCTGTCAGGGTTCTGAATACAAACACACCATTGGAGATGGAAACTAATGACAGGAGCCCAAGAAATTGAGCTCAGGACCAAAAACACTGATATTTCCTAACTCCCATTCAAGAGTATAGAAGAAGGCAGAGCCTAGCCCTGGCACTGGTCTAATGTCCACAAATAAGAAACTGAGGCTGGAGATAGGAGTAAACACAAAAATACACTGAACACTATAAAGAAATATTATGGATCATATGATGTTCAAGAGGTTTGAAAACCAAAAGAGTATAACTCCACATTAATTATAAGAAGAACAGACATTGCTTGGATCCCAAAGGCTACAAGCCTACATGGAAAGACATACACAAGAGATTCAAAAAATCAAATTATAAGTGAAATAAGAGCTCTGGATGAAGGAATTAGAAAAAAGAATAGCTTGGAACAGAAGCAGGAAATTACCCAAATAACAAACTTCTTAAAAAATATAAGCAGAGACCTCAACTTAATGACTTCATGAGAGAAAAAAAAAGGTTAGAACAAAGGCAAAAGACTGAAAAAAATGGAAACAAATATAAAGGATCTTATTTAAAAAACAACAAAAACAAAAAACCTGGAAAAAATAAATGACAATGTAAGAATCATCTGACAAAACAAAAAACTTGGATACCCTACTATTTGAAGAAATCATAAAATGAAAGCTACTCAGATCTATAAAAATCAGAAGACAAACTAAAATAAAATTGATGAGTCACCTCCTGAAAGTAACCTCAAGATGAAAATATCCAAGAATATTATTGCCAAAATACAGAAATTCTAGGTCAAATAAAAATATTGCAAGCATCCAGAAAAGGAAAGAGTTTAAGTACCAAGCAACCATAGTCATAATTACATAAGACTTGAGAGTAACGATTATAAAGAGAAGAAAATCTTGGGATATGGCATTACAAAAGGAAAAATGAAGGTTTACAATAAAAAAAATAACCAAACTTGCAAGACTGAGTATAATCCTACATGAGAAAAAAATGGAAACTTAATGACCAGAAAGCTTTCGATTATTCCGGGTGAAAAAGTAAGCGCTGAGTAGAAATTCTGAAATGCGAACACCAGAATTAAGAGAAATCTAGAAAGGTAAATACATTTGTGCTATTGGAAGGGGTGAAATGAAGGAGTTCTTACATTCTAATGTGGGGAAAACAGACAAGTATCTTTTCAGAACCTTAATGTCTTTAAGGGTAACAGTAGGAGTTAAATAAGACAGAAGGCATAGGAATTGATTTTGTTCTGCTTAAATGGTTTTAAGGGAAGGAAAAGAGAGAAAAAGAGAAATATATTAGGGAAGAAGTGAGGAAGAAGAGGGTAGAACTACTACTTTTTAATGGGGTGTAGGAGATGACTATACAAACAAGGAGAAAGGTATGGGGGCAGCAGACATTACATGAACTTTACTCTTATCTGAACCAGACAAATGAGGCTTGCATACACATGCACAGACACAAAGAGTTTTGTCAGAAATATTTTCAACTCAACAGAGAAACAGGCAAAAATAGTAAGAGGAAGAATGGGACTATAAGACAGTACAAGTGGGAAGAAAATAGCCACAACCAAAACAAATTTCAACTTCTGAGGGTAAATCACTAATGAGAGAATAAAAGGAAAGCAGTACAGGATAAGAATATATGATTGGGGTCCACACAAGGGGAAGAAAGGAGTTACAATGGAATGAAAGCAGACCATTTTAATTTTGGACTCTAGTGCTGATCAAATTTCTTCTCTTTTACCACCTCTTACAATACAATGAACATTGATTAAGTGCCTACTGTGTGCTAAGCACTGTGGTAAATACTGGGAATATAGCTTTTTTTTTTTTTGCCTTTTTGGTGATGCAATCAGGGTTAAGTGACTTGCCCAGGGTCACACAGCTAGTAAGTGTTAAGTGTCTAAGGTTGGATTTGAACCCAGGTCCTCCTGATTCCAAGGCCAGAGCTCTACTCACTGTACCACCTAGCTGCCCTGAATATAGCTTCTTTCTAAAAGGGAGAGTTGAGAGGGAAAGGAAGGCAGGGAGGAATAGTTGGATTGATATAGCACTAAATTTGTGAGCTAATTTAGTTAGTGTCATTTTTATAGGCCTAACCATGAATGACTTTTTTTTTTTTGGTAGGAAGGCTTCCATATATCAAAGAAAAATGTTCCAAATCATACAAGGCTATTCCTCATTCAAGAGAAATTAAAACAAACCAAAAACCAAAAACTAAACCATGACAGACTATAGAAACAAAAGTAATTAGTTTTCACTCCAAAATAATTTATCATGAAAAGTTGAGCTTTCAATAGGAAAAGATAGATTTTCAGTAAAAGGGAACAATTAGATGCTTTGGGGCCTTCCCCATATTCTCTCCTTTATTATTCCATTTCTTCCAGTGCCCTATTATCCTAATCATATTCTTTGTCCTAATCATAACCTACAATCTACCTCCAGATGCTTAGTTAGGCACTACCTTTCTGCTAGTTACTACGTCCTCCTTTTCCAATCTTCGTCTTCTCGGAGAACCAGTTCAGTTCTACACTATCTGTGTCATTAAATCCCTTAGTCCTTCGTCTTATCACTGATCTTACCTTGCCATATCTCAACTCCTACCATCAGCCTCCCTTGCTTCTACTCTTATTCTACTGAAAGAAGCTAGAGGAAGACACAGAAATTATGTTGACTGGGGCCAATACAAATTTACATTATCAAATCTTAACCGGACCCTCACTATCGTGAGATAATCCTCCTACTTCTTCCAGTGAGGTATTTTACATTTTCTTCTATTTTTTTCATTTTTAACATTTTGTTTGATTCTTGATGTCTCATAGTCATTAGCTTCCACTTGCCCAATTCTAATCTTTAAGAAATTATTTTCTTCAGTTAGCTTGTGTACCCCCTTTTC